AAATTTATTAACTTTTAATACTATGAGATGGATGTATCGTATACATATGAAATATAAAAAGAATATAAATGTAGTATATAAAAAGATAAATTTGATATTTGGTTTTCATTACTCAGCGGAGTGTAATCGATTTCTTAATAAAATTGGTGGCTCTAATACATACTTTTTTTTTTTGCAACTATTTAACTAGGATTTGATTAGCCTCTAAAAAATATTATAAACCTTTATATAAACTCACAAGACTATTTTTTAATCGAATTAAAGAAAGTTTAAGCTACATGATGTCATAGGAATATACGTCGGTTATAGACGTTCAGGGATTATATTTTAATAAGAAATTTATTGCTAAAGAAGTCAGCATATCAACATTTGATTCATATATAACAACGTTTCTTATTCAACCTCCTTTTGAATAATCTAAGTTAACGAAACGGGATAAAACAACCAATAACTGGTTATATCATAATCATCATGAATTAAAATGGGAAGTTATTGAATATATCCATACATTAATGAAAAGAAAAAATTATACATTCATATTGGAGAAAATCAGATGGATTCAACGCTTATTCGGATACGATAGTATTTTATATAATTTAGATAATTTAAATTGTCCAAATTTAAAGAATTTGTATAATAAAAAATATAAATATGAATGTAAATATCATATCAAATTTCTTCATTAAATATCTAATAATAAATATAAATAAATAAGTAGTTGTAAAACTTTCTTTTATTTCAAATTAATTTTTTTTTGTTCTCATCATCAACATCAGTAGATCTTTCCATTCATATGTAAAAGATTAAAAGAATTCGTATTATTTTTGATTTTGTTAGACATTCGGTGACTTTTGAATTTAATAAATTTGTCTTTCAATGAATATAAACGAGAAAAAAACAAGTATCTTAATCCTTTTTGAAACGATATATTATTAATATCTCCTGCTTTCTATATAAAAATATGAGTTTTCATAAAAAGTGTGCTTAACAACTTTTCTCACTAAGTCAGCAATCTATACTAATTATATAAAGAGAAGTCCCTTTTTTGTAACAGGTAATCTCGCGAACGGCTGGTCAGATTTTCATGAAATTTTGTATACAAATAGCTTTCGGTAATCACCATGTTTTAGGCTAACAAAATTTTACTTTTTTTCGGGTAGGTGGACCAGGGACCGCTCTATTCGAAAAAATCTTATTATAGTCCGATTTGCTTAAAATTTAGTACGTAAGTAGCTTTTTAGCATATATTAGCATATATGACCCATTTTTTCCGGGAAGTGGTCCAGGAACCGATCTATTCCAAAAAATCGCATTTACGGTCCGATTTGCTTAAAATTCGGTGCGCAGATAGCTTTTTAGTATGTATTAGCATATGTGATCAATTTTTTCCGAGAAGTGGACCAGGGACCGATCTATTCCAAAAAATCGCATTTATGGTCCGATTTGCTTAAAATTCGGTACGTAAGTAGTTTTTTAGCATATATTAGGATATATGGTCCATTTGTTCCGAGAAGTGGACCATGGACTGATCTATTCTAAAAAATCGTATTTACGGTCCGATTTGCTTAAAATTCGGTACATAGGTAGCTTTTTGCCTGGATAAGCTTATAGATTCCTGTTTTCCAATTTTCATGCAATTTCGAATATAAATAGCTTTAAGTAACGACCATATCAAGGGGCGAATTCGTCACTAGGCAAGATTTTTTTGCGCCAATCAGAAACAACGGATACCGTCAAAATATAATTATAATATATAATATATCTCAACTAATTTATATTTAGAAAGCCGTTTGTTAGTTTTCGCAAGGAAACTGCCACCTGCCGCACGTGTCCCAAGGATGGTTTTAGGCTGAAAAAAATCTACATGTAAATGGGGCGTGGCACTTCCCATACAAACCGAATTTCTCATGCTACATATCTCTGAAAGTGTGCATGGTAGAGTTTTGGAAATTGGTATGGAGATGTACGAAATCAATCGCATACCCTTGGAGAAAAATTTTAGCTATAGTAAAAAGGGGTGTGATATCTCCCATACAAACCGAATTTTTCATACTGCTTATCTCTGGAAATTTTTTGGTAGAGTTCTAGAGTTTTGTATGGAGATGTACGAAATAAATCGCATACTCTTGGAGAAAAATTGAAACTATTGGAAAAGGGGGCGTGGCATCTTCCATACAAACCGAATTTTTCATACTGCCTATCTTTGGAAGTGTTCATGGTAGAGTTCTGGAACTTGGTATGGAGATATACGAAATCAATCGCATACTCATGAAGAAAGAGGGCAGCTGTTGGAAAGGGGGGCGTGGCTCCTCCCATATAAATCGAATTTTTATACTGCATATCTCTGAAAGTATTCATGGTACAGTACTGGAACTTCGTATGGAGATATGTATATAGTTGAAATCAAGCCCATACTCATGGAGAAAATTTGGGCTATTTGAAAAGGGGTGTGAGGCCTACAAACCTACCGACCTTTAGCTATCTTTGAATGAATTTTTTTATTCTTCTGTAGGTGTGTTTGTGAGTGAAATCCTCCTAAATGGTTGTACGGATTTTCACGAAACTTTTTGTGTATTTGAGTGGGTCTCTGGATGGTTTAGTTTCACAATTTAATCCGACATTTGGCGCTGTAGTTGAGCTATTACTAAAAATCTTATTTATGATCCGATTTGGCTAATGTTTTAAATATGAATGCAATACTATTGCAAAAACGTGCTGCCAAGTGGTGCTGAAGTCGAGCTATTACTAAAAATAGCCAAGTGAGAAAATGGGCCGTGAAGGTTAGATTAAATCGACCTGTTGCACCATTGAGTATATCGAACGCTCCTGCGTTGCAATTGGCCCAATGGATGTGATTTTCCATTATTATTGTGCGGTCAAACTTTTAAGGTATTTCGTCTGAAATAACTATATGTATATTGCATTTCTGTTGAACAATGATTCGCACCCATTTTGAAATTGCCACCTGCTATACTGTAAAGCTTCTAGGACATTCACTATAGAACCGGCTCATTGTTGCCGCCAGGGAGTGAAGAGGAAAAAATTTATTGCGCTTTGCGAATCACCGTGCTATGAAATGCCGCACAACTGGAGAATTTCAAGAACGGATATAAAACTATGTTCCCATTGGCGTAATTTAGAGGTCAATCTTAATTTACGCATAAATTAATTACAAACTAAGTAATTTCGCCTTGTAAAGTCTCTCAGTAAATTAAGATGAAAGTACGTAGTTCATCTTAAACCAAGAACCAAATCACGAACAAATCAGTGTCGGCTCTAATTTTATCGATGATAATCGAAAAAAGTATTGTCCCACAACTGATATGTCATTGTGTTTGGACGTTTTTGTTTTTAATAATCGCGCGTGGTAGTTTGTAAAATATTTCCAGAAGCTTTCTCTTATGATCACTCATCTAAAATCTAAAAAATTACCACAAACAACTCAGAATATAAAAATATACGCAATTACTCACATTCGCGATCTCTTTTCGTTAAATAAACAATAACACAGGGTTGCTACAAAGCTGTCAAGACAAATAAAGAAACGCGTGTATGAACGCACTTAATTTAGTGAGGTATTTTAAACGAAACTAAGTATTTTATGTTGGTAATGTGAACATAGTTTAACACTTTCCTTAGGTTATTTAAAGCGGCAAATAACCACCAAACCTTAATCTTAGCAGACAAATGTGCCAATGGAAATCGTAAACGTGAATTGTTGGTAAAAATGTTGGACCAAAAAGTTTCAATAAAATATATAAAAATTTTGGGCGGGACGAAGTTCGCCGGGTCTGCTAGTATATATATATAAAGATATGAATAAAACATTTAAATATACACATATTTTTATAAGCATTTTTTTACATATTTATGTGGGATCGTTATTAGGCAAACAATGATCATGACATCAAGATCAAGGTTATTTATAATTGTAGTATCGACTTTGACTTTGTAGTATGAGAACTATCATTTTAATCTATTCGATATTATATTGTCACCACGAATATGAAAATAAATCATTACATTGGGCGACAGTAACTGGCGGAGACATATTTGTATGTAATTATATACTACGTTTATACGCACGTATTATTTGCAAATAACAATTTGCAGAATGGTAAAATTTGCCGTTTAAACGCTGAGTTAATTTTTATTTGAAAATAATTTAATCACGCAAATAAGTATTGATTAGTGGTACTATTTGCAAATAAGTGCAAGACGCGCCATTCTTAGGTTAATTTTCTTTTTCGATGGTCATATTATTGCCTTTTTATGATCAGTCAAATTAAAAAAGAATTTTTCGCCATCGAATAAACAGTGAGTTAGGTATTTGCAAATTATTTTTATTTGCAAATAGCTTACGTATAAACGTAGTAAAAGTATAAGAGTATACTACATTGGCGATCGAGGTAAGATAAGGAGCAAAAATAGAAACAAGAGGAAACAACGAAAGGGCAAAATTATTGCGGAATCGAATTTCGGATAAATGAGTAAGGAAATGCAGCGTACCAAAGTTGAGTAAATAGAAGTAGAATTCGTGGTAAAATCGCTTTTATGTATGCACGAGCGGCCATGATAGAAATAAGGGAAGAATTGTAGTTCAGTTGCTGGGTTAAAACCCGTTGGATTAAATTCCGTAGTATAGTTTCTTTGATTTATACAGAATGCGTCGTGAGTAAGTCCATTGTGATTGTTGGATTGAATTCCGTTGTACATTCCCTTTGGATTACACAGAAAGCGACATGAACAATCACATTGTAATTGCTGGATTGATTTCCGTAGCGAGACAGTTAGGATTTGATTGTTGGGTTAAATCCCGTCGAACCGCATAGGATTAAATTCCGTGATGTATTTCCTTTAGAAAACATAGCTGCATTAAAAAAAATTTATTACACGGTAGATGCTTGAAATTGCAAGAGTTCTGCACGTAGAAACTGCAAATCAAGTTAAAAAATAAAAAATAAAAAGCTTCAAATTAATATTGATTAAATGTATTCCAGATATGAATCACACACGGTTCCTGGTGGGACCACCACCATTCGATTATAACCTGCATGGCGCTGACTGCGCAAATGAATGGAGAAATTGGCTGCGGGGTTTTGAGCTGTTCTTGAAACTCAATAAAACTTATGACGACGACGAAAAATGCAGCATGTTGCTTCACTATGCTGGGCAAAAGGTTCAGAAGGTATATTTCAATCTGCCACCGACGTCGAACAATGGCGAGAAAGGCCCACTAGCGGGAGGTTATGGGTGTTTCGAAACAAGCGAATATAATGATGCTGTCGCGAAATTGGAACATTTCTTTGCACCGAAACGCAACAATACGTACGAGCGACATGTTTCTAGACGCATGAAGCAAGAGTCTGACGAGAAGATTGAAGTGTTTACTATGCGCTTATGCGCACAAGCGGAGCGTTGTGAACTCGGAGAGCAAATGGAAGGGAATATTAAAGATCAACTTACAGAAGGTTGCGCATCCAGTTTGTTGCGCCGAAAGATACTTGGGCGGGGTGATGACGATTTCGATGCTGTTCCTAAACTAGCGAAAGTTATTGAAGCTGTAAGTGAGGAACAGAAAATATTCGGTCAGCAGGAAAATCAAACGGAACCTCATGATGCATCTCAAGAAGTTAATAAAATTGGTGTAAGGCAAAAGATTCGAAATTCTAGCGGCGACTGTAGTCGATGCGGGTACAAAGGGCATAAGGCAAGTGACAGTAGATGTGCAGCATTTTGCTCGGAAGTGTTTCTCTCGGGGCAACCGCAGCGAAGGAAATGAACGCACTTGGAAGGAAAAGCGCAGGTTTAGTGAAATCAAATCGAAGGGTGGCAGCACCAAAGATGAGCCAGTCGAGAAAAAGAAATACGAAGCCAAACAAGAGACAACAGTTCAGATGATCGATAACAATGAATACGATGACGTGTTTTGTGTGGGAACTTCAGAGATATCGAATGAAATTCAATGTCAAGTCGGCGGCATTGTCACAACAGTAATTATCGATTCTGGATCTAAGTATAACATAATGGATTGTAAGACATGGCACAAGTTGAAAGCTAAGAATATTCAAACAATTAAACGCGAAAAGAAAAACCACAAAATATTCAAAGCATTTGGTGGTCAAGTACTAACAATGTTAGGGGTGTGCGAAGCTGTTATTGCAATAAATGGTAGGCAAGTAATTGCGGCTTTTTATGTCGTAGATAGAGGAGAAAAATTCCTGTTGGGACGAGACACTGCAACAGCACTAAGAGTACTTAAAATTGGAGAAGCTATTGATCATTTCGACGTTAAGGGTGCACCGAAACAATTAAGCAAAATGAAAGGTATTATGGTCGAGATTCCATTGAAAGCCGATGTTAAACCAGTGATGCAGCCGTATCGTCGAATTCCAGCAGCAATACAGATGAAGGTTGACACTAAGATTAACGAATTATTGGCGCAAGGAATAATTGAAAGGGTAAATGGTCCATCTAAATGGATTTCTCCAATGGTTCCAGTTGCATAGAAATAACTACATTTATAACAAACAAGGGTCTGTTTCGATACACTCGTCTCATGTTCGGTATAACATGCGCACCCGAAATATTTCAGAAAATTATGGAACAGATTTTATCAATGACATTTTAGTGCACGGAACAACGAAAGAGGAGCACGACATTCGATTGAAGCGGGTGTGTCAACGGCTACAAGAGTATAGCGTGGCCTTAAACGAAAAGAAATGTGTTTTTGGCGTTGCTGAGGTCGATTTTCTAGGCCATCGTTTATCTGCTGACGGCGTAAGGCCATCGATTGATAAAGTAAAGGCGGTGAAATGTTTTCGCAAACCAAGTACGGCGGAAGAAGTACGCAGTTTCTTGGGACTCGTAAATTTTGTTGAGAAATTTATTCCCAATTTCACTTCAATTGATTACCCTTTACGCAAGCTTACTAGAAAAGATGTGAAATTCGCGTGAAACAAAGAAAAAAGGGTAGCGTTCGAGGAACTAAAGCAACAATTAACCAGCAACAAAATATTGGGCTATTACGATGAAGCTGATCGAACTCGTGTGATTGCCGATGTTAGCCCTGCTGGCCTTGGTCTTAATCCAATTCGACAAAAACAACGACGGCCGTATCACAATGTACGCAAGCAAAAGCTTGCCTAGTGCACAAAGGGGAAAGGAAGCTTTGGCACTTGTTTGGGCAGTGGGGCGATTTCATAATTATCTTTTCGGGCGCGAGTTTGAACTGATTTCCGACCATAAACCATTAGAGACCATCTTTGGGCCAAGGTCAATACCATGTGCTCGTATCGAAAGATGGTTTCTAAGATTGCAATCTTACAAATACAAAATAATCTATAAATCGGGCAAATCAAACATAGCGGATCCTTTGTCCTGGCTGTTAAACGCATCGCCAGAAGCAGTAGCATTTGATGAGTATGCGGAACATTATGTTAATTGGATCATTGCAAACGCCGTGCCAAAAGCTTTAAAAATAAAGGAAATAGAAGAAGAGTCAACAAAGGATACAGTTATTCGCGCTGTAAAGGAAGCTATTGGCTCAAACAAATGGGACGATGAAGGTATTACAGGGTTTAAGGCGTTTGCGGTTGAGCTCTGTTTTTCAGGAAATATACTTTTGCGTGGCACAAAAATTGTAATACCGGAAAAATTGCGCACGAGAATTTTGGAATTGGCACATGAGGGACATCCCGGCATGTCAAAAATGAAAAAACGGTTGCGGTCGAAAGTTTGGTGGCCAAAAATCGACCAACAAACAGAGACATTTGTGAAGCAGTGTCGAGTTGTATATTGGTAGCTGCGCCATCGAAACCAGAACCGATGAAACGTACAAAACTGCCAACGGAACCATGGCAACACTTAGCTATGGATCTGTGTGGTCCACTGCCGTCCAGTCACAATATACTGGTTTCTATAGTAGATTTATTGAAGTAGAAATAATGACAAAAACCGGATCAACTGAAATAATCAAAAGGGTTGAAGTCATATTTTCTCGATTTGGGTTTCCATTATCAATCACGGTCGATAATGGTCACCAGTTCATTAGCCACGAATTCAGGTAGTATTGCGAGGTACACAATATAAAACTAATAACCACTATACCACTATTGGCCACAGCAAAATGGCGAAGTGGAACGTCAAAATGGGTCCATTTTGAAATCTCTTGTGATTAGTCAGAATACAAAAGGGGACTGGCGCATCGAGCTGCAGAAATACTTGCTGGCTTATAGGTCAACACCACACATGACCACCGGAGTATCACCAGCAAAGATGATGTTCGGACACGAAATAAGAGATAAACTGCCAAGTATACAGCAACCTATTGAAGATGACAACGAAGTAAATGACCGAGATACAGAAAGAAAAGAGAAAGGGAGAGAGTATTGGGATAATCGGAGAGGAGCGAAGCCAAGTGAAATTGATAAGGGAGACAGAGTGATCGTTAAACGTCAGATCAAAGAAAATAAACTCCAATCAAACTATGCACCTAATGTATATGTAGTGACGAAGCGAAGTGGAGCCGAAGTAACTATCGAGTGCACTCAAACAAAAAAGGTGTACAAGCGAAATGTGGCACATTTAAAAAAGGTTCCGTCGAACGACGATGCTCTGGCTTCAACAGGTCTTACATCAGGAGGAACGGCAGGTAACCGGAAGAGATTCCCCTCATCATCTTTGTCATTGGCTGACGTCCCTCCGACGGACTCTCAATAAATCGCCATCAAAACGTAAAGAACCTCAGCGATATAAAAATTTCATTTTAGATACTCGTTCTTCGGAAGCATAATTAAAAAAAATGTAATTGTTAAACCAAAAGAAGAAAGTGTATGTAGTATCGACTTTGACTTTGTAGTATGAGAACCATCATTTTAATCTATTCGATATTATATTGTCACCACGAATGTGAAAATAAATCATTACATTGGGAGACAGTAACTGGCGGAGACATATTTGTATGTAATTATAGTATAAGAGTATACTACAACAATATTAGCATTTGATTTGAATCATATTATAAAATATAAGCAGGATAATAAAAAAATAAATGTATTCTTTGTAAACAACATCGAATTCAAGATTATTCCAAATTTTAATACATGTATATATAAGTTCTTTACCAACTGGTTACCTCAATGCTTTTTATACACATAGTTAAGAAATGTGTATAAATAAGCCAATACTGTACATAAGAAACTATTGCTTTGTTTAAAGATACTTAAAAACCACATCATGCCAGGAATTAATCGAATCCTCAATAGCGAGCATCATGGAGAGTACAACTTCGATTACGAACTGGAGATGTTGTGTTTTAAAGACATGGAAACCCCTTACATATGTATGTATTGAAGATGAAGATGAGGGTCCACGGTTACAGGTTTTGGGCATCCCAGTCAGAGCAGCTCATGCTTTCTTTAACACAAAATGGGATGAAGAGGATGCCAACAGAAAATTTCTATCAGTTTGTGGCTGGGAAATTGAGGAATATATAATGAAGCAACACCAAAACCAACAGGGATATGAAAGAAGGGGTTTAGATATTAAAACTAAATTAAAGTATTATAATAGAAAAAATAGGGAAGCGATGTATGTATTAGAAGTTTATTCTAAATCATATAATAATAATAATGTATTTGAATATAAATTAAATGTTGAATTAGTATTTAGAAATTTAAATTTAATTATATAGAACCATAGATTTATTAAAAAAACGTTAGCGTTTATTTGAATATAATATTATTTTATATGAGAGTTATTTATGAAAAAGGTTTAGTCATAAATCGTTAGTCGTTGGAAAGGGTTTTATAAATAATATAATTCATAAGCTTCCTATTGCACTTCATTTGCCTAGTTATCAATTTTGTGGAGCTGGAACGAAACTACGGAAACGTTTAGTAAGAGGAGATCGAGGGATTAATATACTAGACGCTGATTGTAGAGAACATGATATATCATATTTATATAACAACGATTTAGATAACCGACATATTGCCAATAAAAAAATAATTGAGAAGGTTTGGGAAAGAGTTAAAGCGAAGGATAGCAATTTTGATGAGAAAACAAATATAATGAAGACAAAAACGAAATTCGGTATGGGAAACGTTTATAGTAAAACTAAGAACGTGAAAGGAAAAACTGGTTATCAGCTCTTCAAACATGCTTTAAAAAGTGCTAAACAAAATTTAAAGAAAAGTGATAACTTAAAAGATGCATTAAAAATTTCACGAAAGGTTGCAAATAATACTTTTAGAGGAAAAAAATCTCAAATAAAGACACCACGTGTAATATCATTACCTAAATCTGAAGGATTTCTCCCATTAGCGCCTTTATTCGTAGCATTAGCAGCACTTGGAAGTCTATCTGGAAAGGAACAGGTAATGGAGACGAAATGTCATAGTAATACAATGGGAGCTATTTTAACGGGAAAAAGCATATTCTTAAAGCCTTATAAAAAGGGATTGGGATTATATTTAAAACCATATCAAAAAAACGCTTAATGAAGCTACCGGTAGGTAGCTGATGTAGACTCGAAGAAGTATTCAAAATTTATTCCAAATATTGGACGCTTTACCATGTAAACGATTTAAGATAGATTGTGGAATAATAAATTTGGATAGTTCAAAGGGTCCGGGAACGCATTGGGTAGCTTTCTAGAAAAACGATCTTGATATTGATTATTTCGATAGCTTTGGAAACTTACAGCCTCCTAAACAATTAATAAAGTATCTCGGAAAAAACATTAAATATAACTATAATCAACAGCAAAGCTATAATTCATATAATTGCGGACATTTATGTTAAAAATTCTTATTATCAAAATAAATAAGTAATTACACTTAGGTCTCTTTTTATGCGGTTTTTTATTCGGTTTTTCAAACCATTTTTGTTACTGCTTTTTTCAGTGTGTAAGAGAGTTGGTATAACTTTTTTCAGTGTGTAAGAGACAATGCTTCTGATGATTAATTTGGCTTTGTATCTAAATTTATGCGGGTTTTGGAAATGCTGGAACGCATCCTCTGTTTGTATGAAGGTCAAGAATGGCTCAACGGATTTACTTCGTTTTTATTTCATTTTGTGTCTTTCTGTCTGTAGAAGGTTTGTAAAGAAAAATCTGCAATATCAGAAGAAGAAAATTAATTATAAATAAGCCGCAATAATGCTATTTCATTGAGAACGCATAAAAAATTAATTCGGAAAAAAATTTGGATAGGGTTGCCACCATTCGAAAAAAAAGTTTATATCTAAAATGATGGATTGATTTCGTGTGTTATAACATAACTCAAGAATGCCTCAAGGAATTTGTGTCTTTCTGTCTCTAAAATGAATGTAAAGAGAAATTTGGAAACCGGTGTTGCCACATATTTCAAAAAAAATAAAAATTAATTTGCATAAGCCGCAATGTACATTACATTACTAAGAATGCATAAACAAATTTATTAAAAGAAAAAATTTGAATAGGGTTGCCACCACTCCGAAAAATCTTTACATATAAAAATGAATTGCTGTTAGTTTGTTATCGCATAACTCAAGAGCGGCTCAACGGATTTGCTTCGTTTTTATTTCATTTGGTTTCTATCTGTCTGTAGAGGGTTCGTAAAGTAAAAATTGAAAAACCAATGTTGCCTGATATTTGAATTATTAAAAATAAATTATTTAAATAAGCTGCAATAATGCTATTCCACTGCGAATATATGAAAAAACTTAAAACAGAAAAAAATTTGGGTAGGGTTGCCACCATTCGAATAAAATCTCATGTCACGGTGTTTATGGTCAACTCCTCCGAAACGGCTTGACCGATTTGTATGACATTTTTCGTGTATATTTGGAAATATATGAAATCAATCATACTCATGGAAAAAATGCATGTTATTGGAAAACCCAATTTTTCATGCCGCATAGGGTACTGGAACTTGGTATGGAGATATATAAAATCAATTTAGAAAATGGGCGCGGAGAACAGGTCGTAAAGTGTATTTCATAGCGCTAAGTGAAGAAGAATTTCGTTTACTTGGGAACCAGCATTAACACCGATAATAATGTCAGCATTGAAATCCAACGTAGAATCACTCTTGCCAACAAGTGCTACTTTGGACTGAGTAATCAATTCAGGAGTAAAGTCCTCTCTCGACGTACGAAAACCGCGCTCTATAAGTCACTCATCATGCCCGTGCTGGTATATGGCGCAGAAGCATGCACAATGACAACATCCGATGAGGCGGCTCTTGGAGTGTTTGAGAGAAAGATTTTGCGGAAGATTTACGGGCCTTTACGCGTTGGCGACGGCGAGTACCGCAGACGATGGAACGATGAGCTGTATGAGCTTTACAACGATATGGACATAGTGCAGCGAATTAAAATACAGCGGCTCCGCTGGCTTGGTCATGTCGTTCGAATGGACACCGACGCTCCAGCTCTGAAAGTATTCAACTCTGAACCCGCTGGTGGTAGCAGAGGAAGAGGGAGGCCCCCACTGCGATGGAAAGATCAGGTGGAGAAGGACTTGGCTTCACTTGGCGTTTCCAATTGGCGTCAGTTGGCGTGCTTTGCTGAACTCGGCCAAAATCGCTTAGGCGGTTACAGCGCCAAAAAAGAAGAAGAAGAAGTGAAGAAGGCGTGGCATCTCCTATAAAACCCAATTTTTTCATACTGCATATCTCTGGAAGTGTTCATGGCAGAGCACTGGATCTTGGTAGGGATATATATGAAATCAATCGCATAGGCATAGATAAAAATTGGAGCTATTGGAGAAGGGGGCGTGGCACCTCCCATACAAAATTAATCGCATACTCATGAAAAAATGTATGTTATTGGAAAAGGGGCGTGGCACCTCCCATACAAAGCGAGTTTTTCATAGTGCATGTTTCTGGATGTGTTCATTGTGGCAAGGCCGTATTTAGGGGGGGAGGGGTGGAAGGTGTGCTGACGGCCCTGTTGGCAAGAGTTATTCTCCGCTTGATCTCCAGGCTGACATTGTTGGTGGTGTTTATGCGGGATCCTAGGTAGACAACGTCCTTCACTACTTCAAAGATATATCTGCCAACAGTGAAGTGTGTCCCGAAACGCGTGGACTCTTAATATGTTGCCAGGAGGTACATTGTCTTGCCCTCGTTCACCGCAAGACCAACCTCTTTAGCTTCTTTTTCTAAACTGGAAAATGCTTCGGCTACGTCCCTATGTTTCAACCTACGATATCGATATCATCTGCATACGCCTCTTTTGCCATATATGGTGCCGCTACAATTCAGATTGGCAGCTTGGCAGCCATACATACAGTGGTCAAAAAATTATAGCCGAACCACTTTTTGCTAAGTTCTAACGTATTATTTTTGTTGTTATTGAACTTTTGTTATTTTTTTTATAAAAATATAGTTCATTCTTTAACAAACCCCGTGTTAATCCAAGTTTCCAAATTTAAGCAATATTAAAAAAAAAATTAAACAAACTTTCGTACAAGTTTCGAACATTTTAAAAATTCTAAAAAATCAATCGAAATTTTTAGCCATTTGAAAC